GATCCGGCGACTCCTCTTTGAGAGCCAGTCACTCAACATCGCGGACTTGAGGACCCGAGTTGAAGGCCAGCCGGAAAACACCATCAAGAAACTTCCTACGGCCGAGCGGCTGCAAGCTCGCTTGAAAGGTGTTGTCTTCACCGTTTCAAATCATGCGAGCATCGACCAGGTCACCGACATGTTGGAAAACGATTCTTTGCGCTACCTGCCCATGAACAGGTGGACTTAGCCAAGAAGGATTCATCGATCCAAATTGACCCGGAGGGCAACCTTAAGCTCGGGACCAAGGCCTCCGATCCGGTGTGCGACACGAATGGTGCCTATGCGCTTCGGCAGGCTTTCTTTCGCCGATCGCTAGCCCTAGACTTGGGCAACCTGTGCACCTTTGAGGTCATGGAGGAGTGGGTTAACTCCATCTTTGAGTTGACCCAGCGTCAGGTTCCCACGGGGTACACCAAGCTCTCCTTGTCGCAGATCGTAGCAGCCGATAAGGAGCTCTTCATCCGTGCAGCCAATAACCTTGAGGGCAAGCTTCAGAAACCGGTAGGTGCTGCTAAGCCATTGGATTCTGAGCTGAAGCGTCTGTCGGTGTCGCATGACATCACTCAGTTCTTGTCACCCTTGCTCTCACCGCCTCCACCGGCCCATCCGACCAAGAGGCCCCAGGACGGCGATGATGATGCACCGCCCAAGAAAGTCAAAGGCAAGGGCGATAAAGGCAATAAAGGCGGGGGCAAGGGTCGTGCACCTAGGATTGAAATACCTGAAGGTTGTTCCGCCAGAGACTCGCAGAACCGGCCAAATTGTTTTGGGTTCAATTTGGGCACTTGTAAGGCCAAGGTGGTTAAAGGCAGGTGCCCGAAAGGATATCACCAGTGCTGGAAGGTAGGATGCAATAAGAATCACCCGTACAGTGAGTGCACGCATGGCATGCAGTGAGATGGCCAATCAGGGGATGGGCCAGCTCCTGAGGCAGTCCCCTTGGCCCAACGTGCAAGCCGAGCTCCGAGCTCGGAGTGTTTCGCAAAGAAACTTAATTCAGTCGATGCGCCACCATCCCGCCTTGATCTGCAAAAGTTGCATGAACATCTCGTTGCGGATGGATTTCTACGCCCCGACGCCAGAACTCAGCAACCGAATTTTGGAGTTGGGGCTTTTTCTCAGGGAGGGCTTCAGGGTCTGCGTGGAGAGTGTAAGAGCTGTCCACAAACGACCAGAGCCATCACAGCTTTTGTCCGAGCTCAGCTCCCAGACCTTTTCTTTACTACAGTTTTCCTGTTTTGCAATTCCGGTACGTCAATGCATGTTGATTCCAAGAATCATAAGTCCCCCACAGGTGTCATTCCGATCGGATCGTTCACTGGAGGCCACATCTGGGCCCAGTGCGAACAGGGCTCGGAGCTCCGTCCTATCAACGGCAAACCGACTCCTGGCGAGCTGCTTGATGTGTCCGCTGGACCCATCACCTTTGAGGCTTACTCCCGAAGCCACTGCACTGAACCATGGCAAGGCCGAGCATAGGTTTTTGGAGTGTTCCGGAACCCAGGGTTCGAACTCCCGGGGGGCCCGGGGGGGGGGGGGGGGGGGGGGGAAAACATATAACTCCGGAACTCAGGGTTGAACCCTGGGTTCGAACTTTTCGAACCCAGGTTGAACCTGGAGTTTGAACTCTATGTTCAAACCCTGGGTTCGGGAACTCTATGTTCGAACCCGGGGTTCGGGAACTCTATGCGAGAACTCCACGTTCGAACCCCGGGTTCGGGAACTCCTCCCCCCTTCCCAGAGAGTCCGAACCCTGGGTTCGGAACTCTATGTTCGAACCTGGGGTTTGGGGAACTCTATACCGGAACCCCGGGTTCCGGAACCCCCCCCCCGTCCCCCAGCGAGTTCGAACCCTGGGTTCGGGAACTCTATGTTGGAACCCGGGGTTTGGGGAACTCTATGTTGGAACCTCGGGTTCTGGAATTCGTCCTCCCCTGGGGCGTTCGAACCCTGGGTTCGGGAACTCCACGTTTGGGGGGGGGCTGCGCCCCCCCCAACCCCCCCGCTGTTTTTAGAAGCTTGCCGAAAACAAAGAAAAAGACAACCAATGACCAGTCCCTGCCACAAAAGAAAAAGAAGCCACACGAAACCGCTTTATGGGGGTTTTTGCGAAGAAATCAAAGAAAGACAAAACAAAGAAAAAGATTGTCAATGAGGAGGAGTTGAAAAAGACTGCCAAGGACCAGTCCCTGCCACAAAAGAAGAAGAAGCCACACGAAACCACTTTATGGGGGGTTTTGGCGAAGAAATACAAGAAAAACAAAACAAAGAAAAAGATTGTCAATGACAAGTAGTCTTTCTTCTCAAGGGGGCTTCAGAAGGACATGAAGTCTCCTACGAGAATGCCAAAGGCGCGAACAAATGAACCGGGTTCTAGACTCCCCTCCAGAGTTCGAACGGGGTTCGAACACCAACAATCACCAAACAAAAGGAGAAGAAGCCACACAGAATCGCTTTGTGGGGTGTTTTGCGAATAAAAATTACTGAGAGCACACTACAATGACAGAAACCACAAACTCAACTGCAAGCACAAGCAAAAGAAGAAGAAGACACACGAAATCGCTAATGGTGGTTTTTGCGAAAAAACAAAATGAGAGAACAAGAAGCAATGATACAAGAGTTCGAACTCTGGGTTCGGAAACTCCATGTTCGAACTCTGGGTTCGGAAACTCTATGTTCGAGACCTGGGTTTCAACTCCGAACTCTGGGTTCGGAAACTCTTATGTTCAAACCCTGGGTTCAAACTCTTCGCCTTCAGAGTTCAACTCCAGGTTCAACTCCCAGTTCAAGAAGTTCAGAGTTGAGTTCAACTTGGAGTTCAACTCAAAGTTCGAACCCAGGGTTCGGAGGGAACTTCGATGTTTGAACCCTGGGTTCGAGGCTCCGAACTCTTAGTTCGGAGTTCCAGAACCCTGGATTCGGAACTCTAAGTTCCAAACCTTGGGTTCGAACACCCCCCCAAAAACCTATGTTGGGCAAGGCCACAGGCTGATTGCTGTGGCATTTTGCGTCTCCGATCTGTCGAAGCTCACCCTTGAAGCGGCACATTCCCTCTTGTCCTTAGGGTTTAGGCCCCCGACCTCCTTGGGTTTCCCGCTACAGATCGCCGAGCAAACGCAGCCCCCACGACCTGATGAGCCGTGGATCTTCGAAATCTTTTCAGGCACCGGGGGTTTCGCTCGAGCTTGCCTTCGGAAGGGATTCAAAGTCCTCGCCTTTGACGCTAAGCTTGCTGGGGCAATGGTCCCCACGGCCAATCTGGACTTCTCCACGGAAGCAGGCCGTGAAGTCTTCATGTCAATGCTGAAGCAGTGCAAGCCTTTTCACGTTCACCTGGGTGTGCCTGCAGGTTCTGCATCAGCCTCTCAGCGCCAAGCTTCAAAGCCCGGTCGTAGACTCCAAGGGCCCCCAACTTACCAAGCTCCGAACGTCGGAACACTGCTTAGGTGTGCCCACCATCCGGAGGTCCTCTGCCGAAGGCATGAAGCTTAGGAAGGAAAATGCCCTTTTTCGCTTCGGCTTCGATGTCGTTTGCTTCTGCCTTGAGGCAAACATTTCGGTAAGTGTCGAAAACCCGTCAAATTCTTTGCTGTGGCACATTTTGCAGCGCTTCGCATCTCAGGCTGACATCAGGTGGCCACCCAGCAGGCTTGAGCAAGTCACCTTTGCCATGTGCGCGCATGGGCGCGATCGCCCTAAGGAATGCAAACTTTTGGCCTCCAAAGGCTTCTTTTCTCTTTTGGCAGCGAAGTGTAGCTAGGATCATGAGCATGCATCCTGGTGGTCGTCCCCGCCTCAGTGCGTGCTATCCGCCTTTCCTGTGCACCCGCATGGCCGATTGTGTTGCTCGCTGCGCCTCTGAGCAGCCGGACTCTTTCACCAGCAAACTGACTTCCACGCCGTAGCTCTGGCCGCGGCCGCCAAGCAAAGCCATCGCCATGCGCCACTCATTCCGGAGTTTCGCAAGGTCACTTGGGAAACTCCTGAATTCAAACCTGACAAGTCTTGCAAGATCCTCCTAACCCACGCTGCAGAGGACAGTGGTGGGGGTCTAACTTCGGATCCAGCGGGCTCTAGACCTGTTAAGGTAGGTCATTGGCTTGACATGAGTCAACATGTCTCCAAAGCCCACACTTTGCAACACCCGGTGGACAAAGCGATTGCTCCTGGCCCGGAAGTGTTGGAAGCGGTCGACTTTTGCATGACCCATGATTCTGCCAAGGCCCTTAGGAAGCTAGAACTCCTTAAAGTTAAGCTCCTCGCCAAGACCCTGGAAGAAGACGAGCGGAAACTTCATACATCCTTCCCGCCGTGGTTCGAGAAGGTGGTCAAAGGCAAAAAGGATTTGTCTGTGGGAGTCTCTTTTGAGGAATCATGGTTTTGACGACATGTGTGCCTCTCGTAGGGACTTCGGAAAAGCCAGAGTGCTTTAAGACAAAGACTGAATCAGAACTCCGTGCTACTGCCTCCTTGCGACGCCGTGCAGCCTTGTCGAGAACGAACCGTGCGACCCCTGAGAAAATTTCTCTTCTTCAGAAGGCCTCTAACTCCGAGGTTGCTGAAAATTTCATCGAGGGGCCCTACACTGAAGCACAGGTCACTCAGATCTTCGGCCATTCGGATTGGGGCGTAATTCCTAGATTTGTTCTTGAGCAAGGTGAAAAGAAGGTTTGACCCATAGATGATGGGCACGCTTCCCAGGTCAACGAAGCTTTCACTTCCCTGATCAAGCTGGAACTTCAAGGAGCCGACTTTGTTCAGGCCCAGCTCCGCTGATTGCCCGGGCTGAAAAGGAACGCTCAGATCGCCTGGGTGTCCCTGCTAGGCAATGGCTAGGGCGGACCCTCGACCTTTCGAAAGCGTACAAGCAATTAGTTTTACCGCTGCACCGTGACATTGCCGTAATCTGCCATCCCATGAGAAGGGGGGAACCAGAATTCTTTGTTGCAAACGCATTGATGTTTGGCTTGACTTCGTCGTTATGGATTCGTGAGGGTGGCCCGAAGCCTGCATTTCTTGCTGTGCAAAGTGCTGAAGATGCCCTCAGCAAACTACTTCGACGATTACCCTCTCTTTTGAGAGAGGGTGCCCAGGAACTTGACGGTTTGACTTCGGAATTCTTGGAACTCTTGGGGTGGCGCTTCGCCCAGACCGGGATAAAGGGTCAACCGTATGAAGAAACGGTACTCGCAATGCAGCTGGACGTCAGCCGCCTCCACGAGGGTGTTGCGGCACTAGCCAACAAAGAAGGCCGTGTTAAGCGCATTGCCGAGATGCTTGGTAACATCTTTGACCGAGGTACCCTTGGCAGACATGAGGCACAGGTGCTCCTGGGACTTTTAAACTACGCCTCTGGATTCTTTGCGGGCCGATCCCGAAAGCCGGCATCACTTCCTGCTATCCTTGGTTCGTGGGAAACGCCCGACTGCTGCCGAAATACAGCGCTTCTGCAAAACCACCCAGGCTGTCTTGAGCACCACGCCGCCGAGAATCCTTCGCATTGACCCGCGACCGCCCATCCATGTTTGGACGGACGGTGCTTGGGAAGACCCTTGGGCGGGAATAGGTGCGGTTGTTCTAGACACGCTAGACGATAGCGCTAGGGTTTTTGCTGGTTGTGTGCCCACTAAGCTTTTGGAGCGATGGAAGCTGGATGTGGGATCGCAGCTTATATGCGAAATCGAACTCTACGCCTTGGTCACTTTGCGTCGTATGCTCCAAAACAGCCTGTGCAACCGAAGAGTCATCTTCTGGCTGGACAACGAAGCCGCACGCACATCAGCAATCAAAGGTTTGAGCAAGAGCGAATCCATGTATCGCTTAGCCCACTATCTTGCAGTGATTGAGGCTGAGGCTCCTTGCGTTGCATGGTACGAGAGAGTGCCATCCTTTTCAAACGTGGCCGACCCTCCCTCACGAGGTGATGGGCAAAGCATACTCAGCTTGGTAGGCGCCAAGGTTGTAGAAGCTTTCATCCATGATGAGAGTTCTAACCAGAGATTTCTTCATCAGGGGTTCGCGTGATGTCACGGGCATTCGGGACGCTGCCCCCTTTGATCTTGAAAAAATCTCAGCTTGCCAAACCCGTGATGCTCGAACATCGGTTTGGCCGGAGCTGTGGGGGCTCCCGAATTAGAATTCACCCCAGATCACCGTGCGAATAAAAAGAGTGTGGCGCGACAACTCCTTGGATCCTCCTTTTATATATTGTGAGGATCTGATACTTTATACTTTTGGTATTGAAATATATTCCAATATTATTTGAAGGATTCTGTCTTATATGATTGATGTCCGTGATATTTGATATCACTCAACCTTTTTGTAAAACATCAGGTTTCTGAAAGAAGAACTTTTCTGCTTTCTGACTTTTCTTTCTTTTGGAAACTTGACAGGCAGTGAAGCTGCCGTGTTTTACATCGGAGGTTTTTGGAAAACATTTCTTGCATGAACCTCATTTCTTTGACATGGCAGATCGGAGATCTCTATCTTACCCGCGAGTCTGCTCAAAGTGAGAGGCAAGAAATTTTCTTTTCCCACCCTCCCACCCAATGAGGACGGGGGGGCATTCGGGACGCTGCCCCCTTTGATCTTGAAAAAATCTCAGCTTGCCAAACCCGTGATGCTCGAACATCGGTTTGGCCGGAGCTGTGGGGGCTCCCGAATTAGAATTCACCCCAGATCACCGTGCGAATAAAAAGAGTGTGGCGCGACAACTCCTTGGATCCTCCTTTTATATATTGTGAGGATCTGATACTTTATACTTTTGGTATTGAAATATATTCCAATATTATTTGAAGGATTCTGTCTTATATGATTGATGTCCGTGATATTTGATATCACTCAACCTTTTTGTAAAACATCAGGTTTCTGAAAGAAGAACATGTCTCACCTTGTTATTCGACCGCAGCCGTTTACCCTCGAAGAGGAAATTTCGGATTGTATGGGATCAACTGTATCCCCAAGGATGGGAGAACGAGCGGAAGAAGGATCTCTCGTCCCAGCGGCAGGAACTATGGAACTCAACGACAGTGAGATCTTCCAGGATGAACCCCACAAGAAAGTGTCTCGAGTCACGGAACATGAACCGTTGCCTAGAGTGGCAAGGCCTGGACATGAAGATGTCATGGTGGACCGGACTACAGAGTTGGGAGAGATGCGGCAGAGTGCAGAAGAAAGGCGAGCTACCTTGGTGGAGCAAGCTAACCTCCTGCAGACGCCAGGAAGGAAAGCTGAAAGTACTCCAGCAAATACTCCAGGGACAACTGGAGGAAAGTCGCGAGAAGAAAAGAAGAAAGAGAAGAAGACTGCCAGGAAAGAAGCCAAGAAAAGCCGTAAGGCCGAGAAGGCTAGGAAGAAACAGGAAGAAGAAGCCACCAGTCCTCAAGGTGTTCGACGTAAGCTGGATGAAGCTATGGAAGTGGCAGGATCGATTGAGAATGTCATGTTGCTTGAGAAAGAGTATAAGCGATTCAGACTTGACGGAAAGTATCAACCCCCCTTCCTTAGTATCTACAGCCGGATGTTGCAGAACAATCAGAAATTCAAGCCCAGATCTTTCTATGATCCCCCAGGAAAGGATCAAGAGACAGAACGACTCGAAGCTCCCAAGGAAGAAGAGGATAAGAAAGCTGAGGCAGAGTCTCGGCAGAGAAAGCTGGCCGATCTGGAAGAGCAAAAGCGGATCTTGGAAGCTGAGACGAAGGAAAAGCAACGGGCACTGGAGGAAGAAACCAAACGCCTTCGTGCAGTGGAAGAATCGGAGCGTATGGCTAAAGCACTTCAGGAAGCTAACAAGCAACAAGCAAAGCTCAAGGTACCCGAAGCAGCGCTGGACTCGGCGGAAGAATGGTGCCGCAACAAAGCCCGTGAAGTCGTGGACAAGCTACGAGCTCGGAAAGACGAGCAAGTGGCAAACTCCCGTAAGGCCGAAGAGGATTGGCTCCAAGCTTGCAGGAATCTGGAAAAGGCTCAAAGCGGATTCCTTGTGGCATCGGAGAAACTGCAAAGTGCCATGGGACAAGCCATCAACATCGCAGTACGCCACGGAGAGGAAAAGAGTCGCGTTCGCGACTTGTTGCGTCAGTGTGTGTGCCCTTCAAACCCACGTGCTTTCGGTACACTTTGTGTACCGTCGTGTCTGGGAAAAGAAAACAAGGTTGCTTTATCCCAAAAAGTTTTTGAACTGATTTATTTTACTTGGAAGTCTTTGACTTTGTGAGCTGTGCAACATGAGAATCATGTCGTGACGTATGTAGCCACGAGGGTCAAGTGGTGAGTTCTGAAGCTCAAAGGAGTTTCAGGTAGTCCGTGGCCTTGGCCACGCTCTGGGGGGGGGGCGGCCGCGCATGGATGCGGAGAGCGACCTTCAGGCTCGGCCGGCTGATCTTCTTCAAGTTTTGATCACGCCTCTCCCTGGCTTATCCTTGTGGTATTTTCTTAGTGTGGATTCGCGGCAAGCACTGCAAGCCGCGGGGTACGCTTACCACTCTGACCTTCGCTGGTTCATCGTGGGCGAGGTATCTGTTTTCGATTCCTTTGAAGAATCTGAGGGCGAGGGGCAACGTGAGCCTGATCGTGCAGGTTAGGTATGGACGACCAGACGATCGCACGGTGCGAGCGGAAGCTCAGAGAATCCCATCTTTGGGGGGTCAATCTGGCTAGCCTGAGGCCCGAGGAAGCTCAGGACGTGGCACAGCAGCTTGTAGAAGAACTTGGTCTGTCTGTCTTTGATCAGTTGGTCAACTGGGTTCTGTTCCATATTGAATGTGCGCGTGAGGGTTTATCAATGGATCTCCGGGCACAGGGGATTCATGGCTCAGCTCTGGCTTGGAGGCAGCAGCAACCTGCATATGGCATGGGGGAAGCATCTCTTCAGGTCGCTGAGCTGGATTTGGCCCTTCCAGAGAAGGGGCGCTTACGGCGCACTCGGAAGAGGCCCTTGGAAGACGGCGAGACGGCTGAGCAGCGGGAGGCCCTAGAGAGGCAAGAGCGCGGGGATCTCTGTATTCATATTCGTCTGCTTGCGCTGCTGAAGCGTTTCGGAGCCCCTTGTCTGGGGGACTTTTCAGCGGACATGGATCCTGCGAGGGCTGCACGTGTAGTGGCGGGAAGGCTTCGGAACAGCAGCTTGAAGAGATACCTTCGCTACATCAGCGAGCTAGTCTTCTGGCTGCTACGAGCAAAGCTGAGAGATCCCCCGCCTAGGGCTGGGGACGTCATTGATTTTCTCTTTGTGCTTGCAGACAAACCGTGCGGCCCCACGGTTCCTGGGGCCTTCTTGAAGTCCTTGGCATGGTTTGAACGAGTCTCTGGATTTGATGCCGAGAGCCGGGTTTCATCCAAGACTGTTTTGCTTTCAACGCGGGACATTATAGTCAAGGAGCTGAGGAAGCCTGGAAACCCAATCAAACGTGCTCCCCGACTCCCAGGTGCAGTGATCGCGGCTTTGGAACGGCTCGTCTCCGACAAGCGAGAGGCAATGGGCATCAGAGTGGGTGCCTTTTACCGGCTTCTTAAGTGCTGGGGGACGATGCGTTACGATGACATCCAGCACCTATCACCCAAGGCTGTGAGGTTCATTGCTGGCAGGCTCCTCGCTATTCTCTACGAAACCAAGACGAGTGGTCCGGAACGGCGGCATGTAGAGCTGCCGATTGCAATCACTGAGGATTCGTGGGTCTGCAACAGGGATTGGTTAAGTGTGGGCTGGGGTCTACTTCAGGAGTTCGCCGATTTTGATCGAGACTACCTCCTGCCTGCCTTGAGTGATGACTTCAGCTTCTTCAAGCGGCGCATGGCAGGTTATGCAGAGGCAGCCACCTTGACGGCTGCGGTGAATCGCAGGCTGACGACGGCAGATGGGCAGAGGCTCATCCCCGAGGAGCTCACGGACATGTGGACGGAGCACAGCGAGCGGGCAACACTGCCCACCATCTTGGACGGCTTCGGCCTGGAGCCCAGGGACAGGGATGCCTTGGGTCGTTGGCGTCCGGAGGGCAGTGACGTTTACAGTCGGAGTTTTTCTGCGAAGATCCGTCGGATCCATAGGTACCTCGTTGCTGAGCTTGAGAAACAGCGCCTGGCGGGGGATGTAGATGATTTCGATGTCCTTGATGCAGCATTCCAGTGGCTACGCGCTCGAAGGGGAGCCACGGCAGAAGTGGCGGGCCAGATCGTCGATGATTTCAAGGCCCGGCTGGCCTGCTGGAGTGGCGAGGAGCCGCCTGTACAGGAATCTGACGGCGAACATGCGTTTTTTGGAGGGGGAGGAAGCCGAGGAGCCCGAAGAGGCTCCGGCAGTGGAGGAGCGGACCTCAGGTTTTGTGTTGGTGTCCTCAAGGCGAGGGGCCGTGAGGCTTCACCGAGCCGGGAGAAGTTCCCGAATCGCAAAGATCTGCAGGACCTTTCGTTCGATCTTTTCGAACGATATAAGGAATAATACTTGCTTGGCGATTATGTTCATAATCTACAGGCCAAGGACGCTGGTGATGCTGTTGTGCATACGCCTCCGTGGCAGCTTGTCCTCGCGTATGAACAGGCCATCAGGAAGCAGGCGTTTCACTACATGATATCCGAGAACATTGCGATCGCCGCGGCATGGGAAAGAGCCTGGAAGGATCCAGTCACTAAGGAGCGCCATTTCTCGACCCCATTGGCGCTCTACGCGAAGCGCCGCCCGGAAGCTCCTATGCCGCCTCGGGACACATGGATCCCTCGGCCACCGGGCACTCCAAAGGGAAAGGGCGGTAAAAAGGGCAAGAAGGGCGACGGCCGGGGCACCGGTCGTACTTTCAAGGGCCATGCAACCACGCGTTCTGGCGAGCCGATCTGATTCAGGTTCAACACGGAGGAGGGCTGCTTGCAAGTTCAAACATGTTTGCAGTCATTGCTTCGATCAGAATCACAACTTTGTGGGATGCACCAAGCGGAAGGAAGCCCGCGGCCGACACTGCCGGGCGAAGCTGACTCGGCACAGATGGTGGATCCACGTTTCACGGCCAGCTTCGCATCCTCTACCTGTTTGC